AATGAGAACCAAGATGCATTATATAAAGGTACAATTCCCAATGAGAAATGTAATTGTGTTGTATACCTACAATGTACCAATAAAAGAATTCAACACACCAAAAAAAAAAAAAAAAAAGATGCTACCTCTGACTCTCCTTATTTTATTTTTTTATATTTTTCAGTGCTGGGGATTGACCTTACTGTCTTGTTCCAGGCCAGCACTTTACTGAGCTATATTCCCAGTTCCCTTATTTTTGAAAAATAGGAAATCAGTTATACTGTAGAGAGATCTGACTTCATTAATTAGCTCTAAAATTACTGTTTCCTCTTGGTTAAGATATCGCATGCAAAACACATTGGCTCTATATTCCTTTTTTAGGTATATCTAGAAATCCCTTCATACCAATCACTGCCATATCTAGCAAGTAAGAGAGATTCAAAATATATGTTGAATTCTTACATGGAAATGTTTTGGCCCATTTAGGGCCTAAAGCTTTTCTTTCAGTCTATATATTCACATGCTAAGAGTCCTTTGGATGATATGTATTTTAAGATTAGAAATTTCTATGTATGAATTTGATATGCTGTGGTGCCCAGTTAACACCATAAATGTTTATTTAATATCAGCTCTGCATGAGGAAGACACAATGATTAGTGACAAATCCTGTCCAAGAAACTTGAGTGAGGAGTCCACTGCTTACATATTTAAATTGTTACATGGCAGGGTTCTTACATGAGGAAATAAAGGAAACTTTCCTTCCTAATCAAATTCCTTCTCAGCTAAATGGTGAAGAACAGATCTGCTTTTCTCAGTTGTTCCTGGAAGTTTGCTTATCATTCTGTAACAACTCCCTATTGTTCAAACCTGTAAAACACAAAAGTACTTTTGACCCTGCTGTTTTACATCTCTGTCTTGTTCCTTTCAACCTAAGAAAAACAAGATGATCTACTACTGCTAGAATAATAGGCAAAGGGTATTGTTTTGTTTTAAATTCTGGGACATACTGTTTTGTGGCTTTCATGTTGAAAAGTAGCCATAAAATATGATGCTTTAAGGGCTTTATTCCTGTGTTTGAAAAACCTATTAGGGAGTTAGAAAATAAGTGTTTCAAATAAATTCACATATTTAAAAGTTTTTAAAAGGAGATGAAGGGATTTCATTTTTAGATGGTTAATTACTTTTATTTAAGCCTGTCAGCTGCAATGAGTGCTTAGTGAATAAAAACCTGCAATCTAAGGCCTCGAGGGTGTCGCCCACCCTACTGACTCTGAGACTGAGGTTCCCCATTCTCTGTAGCCATTCTCCACCATCATAAGAGAAAGAATATCAATCATGTGTCAAGTTAAAATGCACAAAAGATGAGCAGTGAATCACTTTTTTAAAAGTTTTTAGACTTACAAATCCAACTAAAATCAACTACCGTGTTCAGTTTTCTCTGTTCCTGGCTCATCAGTTTTTTGCCCAGTTCTCTGGGTTCTTGGCCAGTCTTGGATCTAGGCTCCTCCTTTGTACCCCTGGGACATAAAATTAGGCAGAGTATCCCGGAGGGCTCCTTTGTAATCCTCCAGACTTCTACAGAGAGTTGTAAGCTTCAGTTTCTTAGCAGGGAAGGGCTCTCCCACCCCAAGTACTGCTGGCTTATTTCCCCATTCCTCCCTCTGAAATAAGGGTTTTGAAAACTTCAAGGACCCGTTCTGCACCCATTTCTTTACCTGTGAAAGGATGGGATGAATGTCTTCTGAAAGGTGACTCTCTGAGGAAGGTTTTTCCATAGCATAAAGATCAAGCCGAGAGGCCTTTTCACTTCACAGTGGAGGGTGGTGCTATTACTTTTATGCACTGCTGGTATTGAGCATCTGTTTCTATCACTTTTCCACTGGTTAGAGGAAGTGTTCCATGCAGAGTCTAATAGACATCCAGAGGAAGTGTATTATGAACTAGTTATTCCTAAAACCAGTTTGACTCAGAGGAAACCAGTTATTTTCTTAAGATGGATTTTAGCAATATAATTTCATTTAAACTTTTCAGGACCATTAGTCACCAAATCTAAAATTTTCTTTGCAAAAGTGAAAAAAAAATATAGACACAAACTTGGCCCCCTAGTTTTAGTGTAATTTTGAGGTTATTTAAATCCAAGGAATGAGAGGACTTTAGTAATCATTGTTTCTAACTTTCTCCTGTTAGAGTAAATGAAAGTCCTCAGAGATTAGCTAGTCAACTCAAACTAAGTTAGTCCAAAGTCAAGAATTTTGGATGCATTTCTCAATCTCAGCTTGTCTTTCAGTCTTCCCCACTACATTGCCTATTCTACGTTATCTTCTTCCCTTTAGCACTCCACTAGCCTATACTTCTCTTTGAACTAACCTTTGTCACTACACAGTTAAGTAGATGGACTTTGTAAAATAAGTAATTAATAGTCCAGGTGAAAAGCCCTAGGCCCTTGAACCCTGCATTGTGAGCAAGAAAGAGGATAAAATCTGTCCTTGGCTAGGCCTTTATTAGCTTCCAGAATTTTTGGAAACTTTAATCAAGCCTTCTGTCAGCTGCAGGAGGTCTCACAGTGTTACTGTAATGCTTTCATCCCTTACATTTGTCCCATCCATTTGAAATGTAGTGTATTTAAATTTCCTACAAAACTGAGTAACAAAGAATCTTTGTCAGTTAATTAAAGTGTGCCTGTGAACAAGCATACAAACTGCTAAGTCACCGAGGGAGGCTATAAGCACTGGTTGTATTCAGCCATTGAGCAGTGGAAATGTGCTCTTACTGTAGTGCACAGCCAGAAATACCAGGCAGACTTGCAAAGGACAAGATTAACCTTGGCCTTCTGCCATTTTACCTTTCTCCAGAGAAATGAAGAATGTTCACAGAACAGTTGCAGTACAAGTTGGAGAAACCAGCACACTTGAAAGAAAGAAAGAGAGAGAGAAGTAGTAGATGAATAAAAAACAAGTTTCCTGTTGGAGTAAGGTAGAATTTAGTACAGAATTAGATCAGTAGCAGTATCTCCCTATTACTTCAATTCAGATGTTCCCATACAGCTACTTCTAAAAAGGCACAGATTCAAAAAATAAATTTTCCTTCAGTTACTCAAAAAAGCTATAGTTTACCATAATCCTTGGGATGAAGAATATTATCTCCAGCAAAGTTGCAACGAACTTCTTCACTCTGGAGTTTATCAACTGTTATTTATGTTTGTTTGTTTTCTAAACAGGTGAAAAATGCAGCTGCCAATGTACTCAGGGAAACATGGCTAATTTACAAAAATACAAAGCTAGTAAAAAAGATAGATCATGCAAAAGTAAGAAAACATCAGCGAAAATTCTTGCAAGCTATTCATCAGTAAGTACCAGTTTTCATTTCCATCCTGCTTTTTTAACCTTGACTTTTTGATTCTTGCATTGGTAGTTGTTCTTTCATGAGGGAGAAAAAAAGAGAACATTCTCTGAGAATTTAATAACTTCATCATGAAATCCTGAGAAAAGTTGTAGTTTTTTATGATTAAAAATCATTTAATAGAATATTCAGTTATTAAAGTGTCTCCTCAGTTTCTGCTTGTAGAGTCAATACTTTTTTAAAATTTTATTTCTTAATATATTTATATAGTTTTCTCTAGCATATTTAACTTGTATTTAGCTTTTATACTTCAAAATCCTGAAAAAAAATACATTATATGATCCATCTGGATTTTTTACTATACTGTTAAACATCTTTAAGTGATGATAGTGTATATAATTGTCTTAATAGAATATTCAATGAGTTCTTAATCAGAATCTTTGGGATTGTCTTTATGCTACATGCTCATAGATGTTACAATTCCTATAGTCCTCTACTCTTTCGTCATTATTCTGACTTTCTCCAGATCATCATTGTTCAATTTATTTAAGTTCTTCATGCCATTTCTTTGTTTACATAACTATAATAGATTGTTAAGGTAAAAATCTCTTACCTTGTAAGAGTCAGTAATTTGGAAACACAGGGTCCTTTTCCTCCAGACTGGCAGCACTTTCGCTGTAAGTATTACTCAAGTGGGTATTAGCTGTGATGTCATGCAGCCTTGCTTTAACTTAATGTCATTTCTGTATGGGGAAGAGCACACGATGGCTCAGAAAAAATAGCTTTCTTTATGAACCTACCAGAGTAATAATGGAAAGGTGGGTAAATACTGCCTTTTAGGTATGAATGATATTTGTCTTTCCAGGGCCAACTAGCATAACAGACAAGAAAACTGTGAGGCCGGAATTTTTATTCTGATATTTAAATAATTCAAATACAAGATTGTACCACTAACATTCTGTAAAGAATCACTAAGCTTTTATCTTCTACCCTTTCACCTGTCCATCCAACTGCCCTGCTTAAATTGGTATCCCCATAAAGTAGAATATGTCTATAATTATGTGCATGTTTTTGTGGACACTGCTGTCTTCCATAATGAAAATAAAGCCCAAGTATTTTAAGACGTAAAGGAAAGGGAAACTGTGTACATATGGTAGACAATTAGAGTCTCATAACTGCTCATGGCTGATTACACATAATAGCTCCCTTATTGGCACCAACATGCTTTCCCAAGATCTCCTTCAGCTCTGTGACTTGACTAGTCATACACAATTCTGCTTTTCCCCCATTATAAGGAAAGGACATAGCTAGAAATTTAAAATAATATTCTTGTAAAGTCAGGGAGAAACACAGAGAAAAGCAGTATGTTAGATCTGGCTCACAGAGTTTGCTCCCTGGAGCTCAGTGACTTTCTAACCTAGGACACCCCTTGGAACTCTTGCCTAGACATCTTGATTCTAGAAATCTAGACCTGAAAGACTGAACCCTCAAAGAGACGCTGAGCTCCCTCCTGTGTGGGCCTTTCTTACTGTGGGACAGGCTTCTTCCCCATGGGACTCCCTGGTACAATTCCCCTGAAGCCAGACAATGTTTGAACAGTCAGCGAATAGAATCCCAACGTTGATACTAGAGGTACCCATGGCATACCAGAGAGAAATTGTTTCTTTACACTTTTAATACTTTGATACCAACTATTTTGAGTATATTAAAAAGAAAACTTAACCTTGGGTATGAGATGTGTGAGGTTGTGAGGTACTGTGACAGTGAGCACATGTGGTTGGTCTACGTTCTGCATGAACACATCCCCTTTCCTCCAGGACTTTGTTTACTTTCTATCAGTTTAACCTGTTAAAATGTACAGTGGCATGTGATTTGCTTTTAATAAATTTGATAAATTTTCAAATAGCAACAAACCCCAAACATGCTGACAGTATCTGTAATACATCTCTATAGCCATGTGTAAATTGTGTGTATTTATTATCTCATCATAGACTTAAAGTTGTGAGTACATTCACATTCCACAAACAAGCTAGGGGAAGAATGTTGTGGTATTCAGTCTAACAGTCTTTCATATGTACTATGTAAGTTTGAAAAATGTTTACCATAGAATGTTAGAAGAAAAGTCTTCAGGGAAGCTAATTTTAAGAACTGACTCCAAGGAAGTGTGCCCTGTAAGGCACATTGATATGATCTTTAGGGTGCCACCAAGGCACCAACCCAGAGCCCTGTAGAAACCCACCTGTGGGTAGAGGAAGCCCTCTGTGATTCTTCTGCTTCTGTTAGACATTTCTCGTTCTGTTTCTTCTTAGCAGTGTGCACATTTAAAGTAGATGAGCTTCAAGCAACTCCTGTATGCTCTGAATTGTTTTACAGTAGTCTGGTGGTTACTGGGTTTCCTTTGATGTAAGGAACATTTATACTTTGTGAAAAAGTATAACTGAGTAAGCTGAGTAAGTTAATTTGTATGGGCTGGGTTTGGTTGGATAATCAAATCGTGCATAATTACCTTTCATTTTAATTCGATGTTCGAAGTTGGGGAGTGGAGTCCTAGAGGAAAGCACACAGGGCTCGATTCCTCAGGCCAAGCTCTTCACTGCCTGCTCTTTTAGATATAGCGAGAACTCAGCCTCATCTGTCAGCACTGGGTGAAATCAGACTTTGTAGTTGAAGAAAAAATTTATAATCATTTGACAGAGCTCTCCTGGCCTCTCCTAGTCTCTAACCTGCCCTAAGAGCTTTCTCAGCAGCTCTCTGCCCTTCAGTCCGCTCCCTTCTCACGGAATGCTTTCTCTCTTCCAAACTTTATGGCCTCTCTACCCAGGATGTGTCCTTTCTAGACTCTGGTGAGTGCTGAACTCTGCAGAATGTCCTCTTTTCAATAATTTATCTGTCTTTTTGAATTGTCACTTAGTGCCATGAAGTGATCTCTTTCTCTCTACCATTCAACCCTTTTTCTGGTAGCGGCTTTAATTTTAAAGTTGATCATTCTTCTGTCTCAACTACGGACCTATCAGTTAACATGAACTTGTCTCAGAACCAAGGAATCCAATGTACATAATTTATATAACAGAGGGCTCCTTAATAATCTCAAATTGAAAAGTATGTACTCCTGCCAAAAAAACCATTGTAATACTATTGCTTAGAACATTGTCCTCTTAACCATATTCCAAGAAAAAATCTTTCCTATTGCTTACTTGAACATTCTTTCTAAACTCTTGTCTAGTTCAAGAGGAAGCCAAGTGCTTTCAGGTGGGCAGAGCATAGTAGCAATGAAGAAAGATGGTGAAAAATTTAAAAACTATTTCTCTTTGGCCAATAAATCAAAATCCTGCAGAATTCTAACAGGATCTTCTAGCTAATGAATCGAGCCCCCTGTGCCCAACTGAACACCACATTGTGTTATTTTGTTCCAGAATATTTTACAGTTTCTTTTCTTTTGTTTTGTCTTTTTATTTCAACAAAATGAAAATAGAGCTCGGAAGTAAGTTGTGTGAGCCGCTCCTTTCAACATTTGCAGAATTTTCTACTGGCTGCATGCACTCAGCGGATCCTTTATTTGTGAATTTTAGTAGTCTGCTGCTATGGAAATGTGATCCAAATCATGATATTTTCCTGTGATAAGTGAAGTTCACAAGGAAGAAATCAACATATATTTCTTATTCTTCCTTTTGTGGGGGAAAAACTGTATTACACATCTGCACCTTACCTTTTATTCTGGCAGCTGCAGCCTAAGCAGACTGTTTTCTATCTGATCACCTACATTATAGGCAGTATAAGAAGCAGACAAGATAAGATGATTTAAGTACAGGGAATTCCAATCAAACAGGGCTCCTGTGTCTGCTTTCCACATTGGTAAAAAATAAATGGGCAAAATTCTACTGTCAGACATAACTTAGCAATCCCAGAAAAGTAAAGTAGGCCCCGCTGTTTTAAGATGAATTATCCACTTCATACAAGGAGTCACCAACCACCTTGGCACCTGCTTTGCAGAGTTCAGGCTTCTCTCTGTACACACAGATTGCTGGAGGCATCACTCCAGAGCCCCAAACTCCAGCTATTCTCTTGCTACCTATGCTATTCCTTAGATTTTTCTAAAAAGACTTGATACGAATTTCTATCAGAGGGCTGGGTTTATAGCTTAATGGTACAGCAATTGCCTAATATGTGTGCGGCCTGGTTTCGATCCTTAGCACCACATATACAAAAAAATCCTATCTTAAAAATACCATCATTCATATCAAAGAAAAGTGAAAATGAAGGTATCATCAATTGACAGTTGAAATATTGAATTCTAGCCATAGCTAGAATGCTATAGCTTATAGAAGTCTCTGAGCTGAGATCTTTCCCTCCACTCTTTTTATAAAGGGAAAATATTATTAACAGGAGACAAAGATGGGGTAGGACCAGCCTGAGACATTTTTCTTGCAAAAATCAATACTTAGAAAAGAATTCAAAGAGTAACTGTCTCTGTTTGAGTATTATTTAATGTCTTACCTGAGTGTCACTTAAAGTCCTCTCTAACACCTCTGTTGGTACAAATGCAGCACTCTAACACACACTTCATTTCATACCTGTGGAATCTGTGAGACAAATGAGGGCTGGTGAAAATGGAGCCCCCACCAGACATGACCACTTTCTCCAACACGCTTCTCTGAAATAACCACGGATGTTTGTTTTTTGCTTGTTTTTTAAAAGTACACATCAAGCATTGGAACCCTCATAAGTGTCTACAGAAACATTCCTCAACAATATGATAGCTTTAAATACATGTTTATGAGTTTCTTTTAGACTAGAACTTATTCCATCACTATAACAGCATAAAAATGAGCTGGTTAACTTTGTTTCAAGTATCCTAATAAACACATAGTCACAAGGACAAGTTATAAACTGTTTTAGATTGTTAAAGGTCATGTCGCAGGTAGGTGTCAGTTAAACTCACACTGGCAGAAGGAACTACATGGCTGCAGAGCAGATTTGGTGACATATTGGAATTCTAGTTGCAGAGTGAAATCACTGAGCAACATGAACATGTGCTACACAAATCTCCCTGGCAGTAAAATTTTGCCCAGTGAGTATTTATTCCTTGTATATATATATATATATATAATTACTTATGGTTAAAATAGAAAAATAACATAGTCTCTCCAGCATTGAAATTATACTTTGTAAAGTGATTTATTGTTAACATAGATTTTTTTCTTTCCTTTTTCATTAAGTAGCTTAGAAGAACTGATTTCTCTTTTGAAGCAAGGCTTTGGATTGTTGGCTTAAAGAATGATAAACCACTTTTCTTCCTGGAAAAATCTTAAGGTCTTGAACATAGCACTGAATAATAAACATTTGTTGGAATAATAAAACAAGTTAAAGAACAATAAAAGCTCTTATTCAGAAAGATTTTTTTAAAAAACTATAGCTTCTTGGTGGTCAATCAGGTATATAAAATATTTAAAGTAGCTAAAAGTAACCTTACATATAGATAGACTATCCCTCAGATACTTTAGTTGTCTTTCAACTTTTATCTTCCATAATTCTCCCAAAGAAATAGTCTGGCCTCCTTTCAAATTCAATGACAATATAAAAGTCAAGTGAAATACTATGAAGAATAAGAGAAGTATGTGCTTTGAGTTATCTTGCTGCTGATTGAATAAAAGTTTTGCTTTTGTTAACAAGAATCTCACTTATCACTGTGTTTTCATCAGGTTCAAATACCTAACCCAATTCATTTCAGACTAAACAGGGTTAATACCTGTATCTAGTCATGTAGGCATAGGAAGGTGCTCATGGCTCCAACATTAATGAAATTTCTTTTGCTTTGCATATTTCTTCCTATGTCTATTTGTCATGATACTGGAGCTTTTTAAGGAATGTTTTGGCTTTTTCTCATATGGTTAAGTCCTTATGAGCCTTTTTAAATTCAACTTACCTGGTAAACAGTTGTCCTGAGGACATCTCATCTCTTGCTCTCTCCTCTTTCTTTTTTGCGGTGTTGGGGAAGCATGCTTCTCATCTTACCAGATACATAACTAGTATGGAATTTATCCCTGATACTTAAGGCATTATCCATGCAGTTATTTGCCCTTGTCAATTTTGTGCATGCTCTTTGGAAAGCATAAGGTAGCCAAAGAAAGAAGAGAACGTTTTTGACTTCAGATTCTGTCTTTTAGATTACGAAGTGTAAAAATGGAGCAGAGGAAACTGAATGACCAAGCAAATACCTTGGTGGATCTGGCAAAGGTAACTCTGAGCTGCCCAGCCCTCATGGCCATGTGTGTTAGGATTGCCACTCCTAATGCTTCAGGAGGAGCCCATCCCAAATTTAATTATCAAGCCAAAAAAAAAACCCCATAAAAATGATACTTTAAAACTTTTTAAAAAACTTTTACTTAATATACTCTTACTTAAAAACTTCTACTTAATATACTGTTCCATCATATACACCATTTAATCCCTATCCCACCCTCAGAGTTCCCCTAACTGCAGTGAATTGGAATTGCCGTAAAGAACATAAGTGAAATGAGATGATATCTTTGGGATTCTGAAGTCTCATCCCTGACAACACAGTTGCATCTTGGATGTGACTATGAGGTTCAAGGCTAAATAGATCTCATCAATTCTCTTAAGCAAAATCATAAGAATATAAAATTGAAGTTTCTTGAAAGACTCCAGAAATTGAATCCTAAAATATAAGTTGTTCCCTTCTCCCCCAAACTAAACATTTTATGATTAGTTCTTTTCATTATTTAAGTCATACTGTGCTTTGAAAAGTACGTTAATAGTCTCCTAGTTCTCCTACCATGTTTATAAGACTCATCTGATTTTTGGTTGTACCTCCCCAAGTGAAATCCATTTTCAACATATGAATATTTAATCAACAATCAAAGCATTGCATCCTCTTGAGCTAATTATAAAAGAGTTACTAGAATAGCATGTAGTAAGTGTGCAGCCTCTTAACACAAATGTTCTGAAAGAAGCACTCTCAGTTGGATCAATATATCCTGTTTGACAAATTATCTCTTTACTGTAGCCTCACTTTCAATCTGTGAAAATTATACTGTGGGCCTAGTGTCATTAAATAAAACATCATCAACATTATATTCATTTTTATGTATATCTCTAAAGCATACTTTATAAACATATGTAATGAGTCACGTGAGAGCACACATGTATGAGGTATAGAGATTTCCTCCATTAAAATGGCTCTCACTCAGGGCAGGCTCATCATTACAGAGTTAAATGAGTAAGAAATTGAGTATTTTTTATGAAAATGTAAAATAGACTACTTGGAAATATGATTTAGATATTAATTTTACTTCAAGAGTACATCTATGAGGCAAGATGTTGTTTCCAGTTATTCTTTACTGTGATGCTTATTATGACAACAGGCCCGTGCTGCTGTAAGGTTCAGTATTCTTTGGGTGGGGTGGATGTTGGTCACATGTTCTGAAGGGTATATCGTAAAAGTAAGGTTAATGCACTGTCTCCATGGCCCAACTGAAACAAGGTATCTCTGTTCTGAATAGTAACTCCCTCATTTAATCAGTTCATTTGTCATGGTTAAGAGGGTGGTAAGCAGGATGAGAGCATATATCATAAGGAGAAATGAAGGAGAAGGAAAGCTGAGACAAAGAACTTGAACTTGAGAAAGGCTGTACAAGTGAAACATTCCGGTACTCTGGACCACCATCTTCCATGCTAACGCTAAGCTGATCAGCCCTGAATCCCGTCTTTATCTCTCAGCTACTTCAGGAAATATAATTAGGAATCATACTTATGAATGCCCAGTGATCAAGACAGTCAGTTTCAGGACACCAAACTAAGACACCAAAAGTATTTTCCTATTTCAGAACATGTAGTTCTGAGTAAGGTATCCCAACAAGGTGGACCAGTAACTTTATTATATCCTCCAACTTTTATTCTCATACAGAATTCATTTTGTTTCTTTTACAGCTTATCTGTAAAAATTCTATTTGTTTGTTTTTGTTTTTTTTGGTACCGGGGATCGAACTTGAGTCCTTAGCTTGAGAGGCAGGTGGTGGAACCACTGAGCTAAATCCCCGGCCCTAAAAATTCTATTTGACCCAGTGAAGAGTTATATCATTTGGAGCATAAACAATACAAGATATTTAAGAATATATTGCTTTAAATTACTTGATCAAATTAATTAACCTTCATTCCTATTCCAATCCCAATTTTTGTTCCATTCCAATACAGTCTGTATCAATTATTGCTCCTTAAATCTGCTTGCTTTTTAAATTGCCCTTGCCTTAATATTACATGTTGTAAAATGAATTTAATACACTAACTTTTCTAACAACCCATTAACACACACACAAATGTTAAAACATTTTCATCTATCTTTGCACAACCTAACATCATTGGGGATATCACTAGTAATACCTGCACCACATTTTTTGAAACTTAATCAAATTAATGCCTAACCACCTACATTTCTAAATCCTGGCATTGAGTGGACATTGAATTTGGTCTGTATGGTAAACTGTTCAGTTAGCTGATGCCCCTGTTACACTGGGTGTCACCACCCATAAACCAGTGGTAAAGCTCTAAGAGGTGCCATGCAGGTGTACATAGGCCTCTTAGTTCTCTATTTTTATGTTTTCTCAATCCTGTTTTCCAGACCCAGAACATCATGTATGACATGATTTCCGACTTAAATGAAAGGAGTGAAGACTTCGAGAAGAGGATTGTTACCCTAGAAACAAAATTAGAGACACTGATCGGTAGCATCCATGCCCTCCCTGGGCTCATAAGCCAGACCATCAGACAGCAGCAGAGAGATTTCATTGAAGCTCAGATGGAGAACTATGAGGAGCACATCACCTACAATGCTGAGCGGTCCCGGTCCTCATCCAGGAGGCGGAGGTCCTCCTCTACAGCGCCACCAACTTCATCAGAGAGTAGCTAGAAGAGAATAAGTTAACCACAAAATAAGACTTTTTGCCATCATATGGTCAATATTTTAGCTTTTATTGTAAAGCCCCTATGGTTCTAATCAGCGTTATCCGGGTTCTGATGTCAGAATCCTGGGAACCTGAACACTAAGTTTTAGGCCAAAATGAGTGAAAACTCTGTTTTTTCTTTCAGATGCACAGGGAATGCACCTATTATTGCTATATAGATTGTTCCTCCTGTAATTTCACTAACTTTTTATTCATGCACTTCAAAGAAACTTTACTACTACATTATATGATATATAATAAAAAAAGTTAATTTCTGCACATATGTTTGGTCACTTGACATTTCTAAAATTTCACTTCTGATATTCTTTTCAGACTAAAATGACCGCCATCTGATGCATGATCATTTTGATTTGTGAAAATTGAGCTAGCTTGAAAAGAAGACTTTCCTTCAAACCCTATTGAGGAAGATTTTCCCTCATTATGATATATTAGCATCACAATCACTTGACCCAGCCCCACTTTCTATTCTCTTTGAATTTATAGTTATCACCCTTTTAATTCAGTTTGTCTGCAAGTGATGTAGAAAATCAGGTTTATCAGCACTTGTATGAATAAGGGACACAGATGCTTTCAAGAATTATTTTATTCCTAGTTTACCAGCAAATTTACGGGAAGAAAGTACCTGGGTACCTCACTGTCTGAACACATGTTGCACAATTTTACTTCTAAACTAATGACTTTATATCTTCCCATGTATTCATTTATTACGAGAGCTCAGGCTGCATGGTATTTGGGGTATACATATGTATATTAATAGATACATGTTTGTATACCTCAGCATAAAAAGCATACATGCGCCTAACTCCACACATTACCTAGCATATGCTCCACTCGTGCTCTGTACTAAGATTTTTGATACAAGTAAATGGCATTTGGCAAATTTCACAACTTTTTTACACTTGTCTCATGGGTAGTTATGTTTGGTTTGTGTGAAAAAGAACAAAGTAGTTTTAACTACAAACCCCTCTTTGCAGATTGATTATAAGAATCCAGTGGGTTTGGAAGGACCATATTGAGGTGATGGCCACATGGATTCACTGGAGGTGTTCCCAGAGTCTGCAGCAAGATCTCCAAGAGCAAACTGTTTGCATTGTTTTAAACCTGAGAAATGTTTCTTCATGTTCAGAAAAGTCTAAGAGGCTTATGCCCTCCTTTTATACAGTTCCTTTGGCATGAACTTTAAAACAATGCAAGTTGCTAGCATTAAGAAGTATCTTCTTCTTTAGCACAAACTAGAGTGGTATATTTGCTCTATTTTCATACTTCAGTGAAGAAAACTTTCACAAGTATTCTCCCTAAGTGACATAAAAATCAAACATTTCCTGTCAAGATCAAAGCTACAGAGTACAATTGCTTCAGGTTGCTTACAATTTACTAACTATGCAGTGTGGCTGAAAATAATGCTTATATGTCTGTGCTGAATGAAGACAAGGTCTGGGAAGTCATCTAGTAATATATGAAAGAAAAACAATCTGAATACTGCCTATGTATGGATACATATTGCTAAGTTAAATTAATGTCAAGATCCTGTTTCATCAGGATTTCTACTTCTTGGGTGAAATTAAAATGTTCTTTTATATGTTTTGACTCAGATATAAGACTTGTGCAAGTAGTAGATAAGTTTGGTGTAAACTGTCAATGTAAGGGGGAGAGATTTTGAAAAGAATTTTTTATTTTAATTGATGTAGTTAATTCTACCTCTGTTGTGAAGGCAAAGGAGAGATAATTAAGCTTAATTATCACCTTACTGATCAATTAGCGCTATTTCCCCAGAGCACTAAGAGCCTAGGGAAAGAATGATGTATTGTTCTTCTTTTGTAATTTAATTCTTTAATATATTTTTTAAATATTTTTATTAGTGTATGTTTTCAGTACATATTGATTACATTCATCATGTGGTGTAGGCACATATAACACATCTTAATTCTTTTTATATCCCTTTGTCAAGAAACAAAAGTGAGTTTTTATTTAGATTTCATTACCTTATACAGTGTTACCTTAGTTCATGAACACTTCTGCTCTCAAACAATTAGGTTCATAAACAGAAGCGTTATGTGTGAACTCCCCATGAGATGACCAACACGACTGCAGCCATCTTCCCCAGGATCTTAGAAAGAACTAAGTTCATGAACTGAGGTAGCACTACAGTATTTATTCTTCTCTTAACTGTAGCTCATTAGGATAAGGTGTTCTTTTATCCTTCAAAATTAATCTTACTTTTCCTCTTTCCCTATGCAAAGTACATGAAGACTAGTAAATATACTTTTTGTTTCTGTCCTTTCTTAGAACTATACCAGATCAGCACAATTTGAGAGAGGAGGAGGGGCCCATCCATTACAGACTTTCTGGTCAGAGGTTTGGTGAATAAACTCCACTACACACAGTATGGCATTACCAAGTCTCCTCCCAAGTGGCTTGGAACATTAGGCAGAATCCTCTCAAGGCTGCTTAGATGACTTTTTTGGTGGTGATAATAGGCCATTCTCTTACTGGCACTGTTTTCCATTATGTTCAGTAATAATTGAGTTCTGTTTATACCATCCTCTATGGCCAGTAGAAACCATTTAACTTCTACAAATAATTTATATTAAATAGCACCACCTTTCTTAATTTTCATTTCCCTATTTAGGCACAGTTCCTAGGGTCAGCCAGTTGAAAGAAGAGCTCATGCTCTTAAACAAGGATGAAAGAAATGTGAAACAGATAAGTTATGGAAATTTCATGTGCTTTCTCCCCTAACTTCTGCTCTCCTTGTGATTTCCTTCCAAGAAGTGTCCATTGAAGTATCTGCAATAATCAAGTCCTTAAGTTCCTCAACAGAGCATGGTAACTGAAAAAGAAAGAAAGAAAGAGAGAGAGAGAGAAAGAAAGAGAAAGAAAGAGAGAGAGAGAGAGAGAAAGAAAGAGAAAGAAAGAGAGAGAGAGAGAGAGAGAGAGAGGAAAGAAAAAAAAGAAGGAAAGGAAAGAGAAAGAAAGAATTCACTATTGGTTAGAGTTACTGTGAATCTCAAGAGGTGGGGTAAAATTTGACATCCCTCCTATATTTGAATTTTGTCCCATCTTGAGAAGAAGCAGCATGATGGAGTGGAGAGTCAGACATGGTTTGAGCTGGGCTCTGCCACTCAGTAGCTCCACGCACTTGCACAATCTTAATCTTTCTGAGCCTATCCCAGTCTCCTGATGTGTAAAATAAGTCTTAAAGGACACAGATATCAGCAGTGCTCCGTAGAGGCTGGCATCTACCTCATCAAATGATGGTGCTTTTATTTCTATTTTCAGCATAAGGCAGCAAACATTAAACACCTCCATTATCTGCCTACCGTCTTATAACTTTTAACACCTGGGAATAGAAATTATAAATTCCTCCCCTCACCTGTCTATTTTATTCTCAAAACAAGTTACTGGACTCCAGATTAGCTCATTCATTTCCCGATCCTATCACTGTTTTTAGTTTAATTTGCATATCAAAAGATGCACATACACTTTGTTGCTTTGTCTTTGTGATTCTGAAATACTCCAATCTGCTTATAAATATGATTTAGAAATGTGGAGTGGAGAGCAACATTAGAAAGGTTATCTAAGAGTTGGACCAAAGGAATCAATCTCATAGTAAACCAGTAACATAAACTTATTTGATAGAGCATACCTACTAGATACTAAGTAATAGGGAAACACTTGATATACTCTCATTAATGCGAGAACAAAGATGCTCAGCACCATTATCACTATCCAGAACAGAGCCCTGACCAGGACAACTGCACACTTAAAATTCACAGTTACTCTTCTACCTTTGGCAGAGTAATACCCAAGCATTACACATACCCAAACACAATTCAGAACCAGCTTTGTGTGTGTGTGCGTGTGTGTGTTTGTGACTTTGAAGCTTAGGAGCTCTTTTTATGAAGACAGAAAAAGTCATAAAGGAAAAGACAAACATTTACTTTTCACAAAATTAGAAACTTTCTGATATAAAGTATGAAATAAAAGGACAGAAGAAAAATATTTATAATTTATGACAGAAAAGGCATAGTATATTCAGAATATGAATAAATAGATATAGATATAGTAGACATTCCTATATATATAAAATAGAAAATCTATCTTTATACATTCATTGTCTCCATGTATACATACAGAAATAGTTTATACATTTATATATACAAACATATATGTGCCTATAAGTAAAAGGAAAATTTGGTAGAAAACAGCAAAGGCTTTCTACAAACAATTCACAAAACAGGTAATATGAATGAATAGACAATAAACTCATGAAGGATATCAATGCTTCTCTTAATCAGGGAAATGCACAGTAAGACAGCAATAAGAGTTTGGAAAAATTTAGACTAACCTATTAAAACTTACAATGCATATCTTTGCTCTGATAAAGTCTCAAAATTCCATAAGCCTGAAGAAATAGATAAATAATAATGTTTTCCTCTCTTGGGAGAAAGACAACTCACAAACTCTGTTAGCAAGTGAAACAGTCTGTATCTATAGGTCACAGAAGATCTGTTTCTCTACACCAACAAATGTTCCTACCAGAACTCATTAAGAGAGGAAAAAAAAACATCAGGACACCTCTTCATATTGAGCACTTGGCAGAGACAGCTAAGTAGAATAACTGATACTAAGACAATGGAACCAAATTAAAGTGTTTTTCTACTGATTTTTTTTTCATATACAAACAATATTAACAGGTCAGTATTTCCGACAATCTGTTCAGGCCTCTGTCAAGTACTCTCAACACTGTACAAGACAAAGAGGTACTCTCAGCTAGTGTGTGGAAGGACAGTGAATCTCAGAGTCACATCTCTTGGGCTTACTCACTTAACAGTTTTTATAAAGTGCAGTAACAAATCCAACCAATGGGAATTTTAAGAGCAGGATTACTGAGGCAAACTATTACTGAACCCAAGGGCAGACTATAAGGAACTGAGAGAATGAACGTATACTTTGAGCTAGAAAGAGGGAAAAATCAAATATGGTTTCTCTCTGGTAAATATCCACACAATCTGTCCCTTAGTCTTTACCTTGAATTTTCTTCTTTTAATTAAATTTTTATTAGTACATATTTGGAGTACATAATGACTCCCTTCAATGTGGGCAATTGGTACATGGACTTTACCCATCTTAAGTCTTTTACTTCTACTTCCCCCTTTTCTTTTCCCTCCATCTCTTGGTACTCTTCCTATTTGTAAAAATCTATCTCCCTGTCTCCTATTGTTTGTCTTTATTTTGCTCTTTAAATTATTTATACTTT